CTTTGATTGTCTGTGCCATGAGCGTGCTGAGGCCATCTGGAGGTAGCAGGGCTGGGCACTGGCTGTCTTTCGGCAGCTCGAGGTGTTTCCTGCACGGCAACATTGCAGTGCTCTCTGTCAAGTGTCCCAGGTGCTGGCAGCAGATCCACCCTTGTTACAGCAAGGCAAGTGCTTGGCATTGTTAAGAGTGGAAATAAATGTTCTTGGCCCATTAGAGAGGGAATTGGTGTTACCTACTTTCTAGCCGGACTGTGGACAGATGGAGGATGTAGTGCTTGAGTTCAGGTCCCATGCTGACTGCACAGCGGGCACTGTGCAGTGCGCTTTTGCTGTGCACTTCGGTGGCTTCATGGAGTGCTCACCACAGCCCACGGGAGCTGGGCCATGACATTCCCAGTTCATGCATGTGCGACTGGACTGAGGCATCAAGTTGCTCGCCCACACCCTGGTGAGAGCTGTGCTTCACACAGCCCTAAGAACTCGGGGCAAAGCTGGATAAGACGACCGTAAGATTGGGCACCTTCTGCGATGGTCTGTGTATCGGTGGGCCAAGGTGTTCCGCTAGCTGGGGTTGGACTGTGCCAGGGTGAGGAGACCGTGACACCCAGGCGTGCAGGGCAGACGCCTGTCTCTTTGTGTCAGGGGGAATTGAGTGGAGGGGCCCCTGGGGACCCCTGTGTCCTGACATTTCTGGGACGTGGCCCAGGCTTCCCTCGAAGTCACCTGCTGAGGCAGGGAGCTCTGGGGGTGGCAAGGCCTGGGCCTGGCGCTGGTGCTCTTTTGGGTCCCACCCTTTGCTGGCTGTTTGACCTCAGGCGAAGGACTTAGTGGCAGGAACAACTCCTCTCATCTGTCAAATGAGGGTAATGAGCCCGACTCCAGCCTTCCCGCCTTCCTCATGGGAGCGGGGGAGATTCCTGAGATCACCTCCCGGGCCTTTGATGTGCTGGAAAGCATCCTCCTTAATTGCTCAGCCAGGTGCTTGAGCAGCTGGGCAAAAGTTTTACGGCCCAGGATTCCCACAGCCCACGATCTTCGCTCCCAGAAGCCCTCAGTGGTTTGTAGCCACAGACTCGGCGGCGAAGACACTGCCAGGCTGTCAGCAGAGACCTTGCAGGGCCTCGGTGAGGGACAGGCAGCGTCCCAGGCGCTCTGGCCATGCCTTGGCTGCCGTGTGTGGCTCTTCTGCGTCTCCCAGAGCCAGTTCTTCACTCCTTCCAGACCTGCTGGAGCTGTGTGGAATGCTGCTGGCATTTAGGAGCAGTGGCCGTCGACTGCTACTGCAGCTGGGCTTGCTTTCTTCCCTCTGGGCCATCTGTAGAAGGGTGGGGCGAGCAGTTTGCAGGCTTGCTTAGTTCTCCGCAGCCCATGAAGTTTCCGGGAGAGGCTCCCTGACTCCTATCCTCTCTCTCCATGTCCACCGCCCCACACCTCGATAAACGAGGCATGTGCTTCCTTTTCAAAGCCTGTCAGAGTCCCTGCATTGTCCACAGAATCAAAGTTGAGCAAACTAACCTGGCATTTCAAGCCCTGCCCTCTCCCTCAACTCAAAATCCGCCCAAGTTTCCTCTCCTCTCTTACTTCTCACCTCTTCCCACTGTTTGCTGCTCAGTCCATGTCCCACTTGTATTTGTTTATCACCTCCTACAAGTGGAGCGTGTATTAGCTCTGGGGAACAAAATCAACGTTCTTGCTTCCCGGAGGGCACAGCCTCCTGTGAGCCGGTGAGCATGTGCATTTCTGGACAAGAGCTAGGATGTGCACAACCGTGGGTCTTCAGGAGTCCAGTGGGGGACCCCGTATCTGCCTGGGGTGAGGGTGCGATGCCCAGCATTCAGGGATGGGCAGGATGCAGTGTGACGAAGGGTCTGGGACAGGAGTGGGGAGGGAAGATGGCCCGTGAGTGTCTCCCAAGAAGAGCTTGGGTTTAGGAGAAGACACAGGCAGCTGTGAACTCCATGGTGAGCTTTGCTAAAAGGCTGGGTTTATTCTGCCAGGTCAGGGCGGCAGCTGGAGGGGATATGGGCAGCACACTGCCGACTTGGCCATCTGGCAGGTGCTCTGGGGCTCCCAGGTCTTCCTCAGGGCCCCTGATGCCACCTCTTCCCTTTCTCACCCCATGCTCCCCTCGCTATGGCTCTGTCCATCTTTCCTGGTCCCCTTCGCGAGCCTTCTTAGGCAGAATTAGACTTAGGGTTGAAATTAGAGTCCATTATGTGTGTTGCCATTTCTCACACTCCACCTCCATTTCCTGTTAGTTGTACCTGTGTCTCCGCCCCAGGACTGAAAACTCCCCAAGGCCAATTTCCCCCAGAAGAGTCCCCTCTGAGCTTCCCACAGCACTCGCCAGGCAGTGTTCAGAGCCAGCCCTTCCCTCCAGCTGTGCTCCCTCTGCTCATTAGTGCTGTGAGCTTGGACGAGTCCCTCACATTATCTCTGAGACCTCAAGCTGTCTCATCTATAAAATGGGAGCAATGATTTTTATTGCATAGGATAATTGTGAGGATTAAGTCAAGCACCTCGTTAACACTTAATAAACATGAGCTGCTCTCCTCCTGCCTTTGGTCTCTGCCTTGGCATGATTGCTGCAACATCTTGGGAGAGCATCTCAGAAGGAGGGCACCTCCCTTTCCCATGGCCCAGCGGGAGTGCTGGGTGCAGGAGCAGCATGCGTGGCTCCCACGCATCCAGGCGGAGAGGCAGAGTGGCAGAGTCTCGGTTGTCAGTGGCAGCCGATGCCACCCATTCGGATCTGATTGTTTCTTTGATGCCTTCCATGAAACACTCAGTATAAACAAAAAGAATGAAAATGTTGGAAATAATTGGCAAACAAAGCAAATTAAATGAAGCGAAGGTGCTGGTTCAGGATTGTGCCTTTGAGTGGGATGTGCTGAGGGAGGAGGCAGCCAGGGGCCTCCGAGTCTCTCCCTTTCCTGCCTGCTTGCTGCCCAGCCTGTGCGAGGAGCCTGTGCCCTGAGTTCCAAGGGACTTTGGCATGGCTTGCCACTGTCATGGTCATCAGTAGCCTTTCTGCTCCTCCTCTCCTGCTCCTCCTCACTGCCACCCAGGTAGGGCGCAGGGCAGGAGCCCCACCTGCTCACCCTCAGGATGCGCCGGACCAGCCCAGTCTGCACACGAAGCCTTGCAGGTCGCCGTCCTGCATTCACACAGACTTGATTCTTGTAGCAGCCCCAGGAGTCAGACAGAGCAGCTGTCACCATCTTCACTGACGAGGAAACTGAGGCACAGAGAAGTTGGGGAACTTGGTCCCACCTCATACAAGCTGGGGAGTTGAGTGGGGAATGTGCAGGACCAGGGCAGAGACTCAAGTGGTCTGAAACCTGCAAAGCGTTGCCTGGAAGAGAGGACAACCTTGTGTTCCGGCAGCTGGCACAGGCTTTCTGCTGACGTACGTCTTCATGAGGTTGAAGGAATCTTTTAAGCATCGGTGGAAAACAGCTTCTTCTTCTACCTCCTTTTTGTTTTTGAAACAAAAAGGACATAGAGGTGCTGCTGCCTGAATGGAGGTCAAAGGAATACACCAAGAAGAGCAAGGAGAGAAGCATTTGGCCTTGTGATTGTAGGGCTGGTTGATTTCTGGACTGTTCCACAGATGCTCCCACCATTCTGCCTTGGCTCCTAAGTGAAATTATATCCACGTCGTTGCCCTTTGCTACAAGTGCTAGGGACAGTCTCTCCCTCCCTCCCTCTTTCTCCTTCCTGCCCCTGCTTTCCTCGTATTTCTACAGGGGAAGAGCAGAAATGTCACCACATTGGCGGCCTCAGGAAGGATGGACAGTCCCTGGGTCCTGCTTCTCCACTGGACAGGGTTACTGTTTTAAGCCTTCATGGCTCTTGCTCTGGGTCTTCCTAGGTTCTGACCGGGGTCATGGCACGGTTGCTTTTCATGCTTTAATTGCCCTCTCTCCTGCTGCAGGTGCTGTAGGGAAACTGTTGGCCAAAGAACAGAGGTGAACACACACAAACACACACACACACACACACACACACACACACACATGACAACTCAAGCAAAAATTTAATCAGGCAGGGCATGAAAAGTTTAGAAGTCTGGAGCATATGTCAACAAATTTACTTTCCAGCAAGACCTTTCCACGGTCCTCCTGGTGGAATGTGATCCCATCTACATTGCTGGCATTGCCTTCTCAACTCTGCCGACCAGGTCTTTCTTGGGAGTGTTCTGAACAGTTCTGGACAGCAGGTTTCCTCCTCCTCCTGGTCCTCCTGCCCAGAGAAGATGGCAGAGAGGGCCCCTTCTGACCCAGTTCCTGGGACATAGTCTGAGCACCGCTTGCTTGGGGACAAGGTGACCTGCCTCCCTCTTTTGTACTTGAGACAATTGACAACAGTGATATTCAATTATTATTTCTTCTTTTTCATTTGGGGACCTGGGAGCTCGGTTTCCTCTGATTTTCTCACAGATTTATTACAAAGTAGCAAGCGTGGAAAAAGTCTCACGATTTACTGAAAGATATAAAGACTTGAAGAACGCCTCCCCTTTCATTCCCTTCTCTTTGTTGTAATGGCCATAAATTATCTCCTGGCAAAGTGGGAGCTCTGGGCCGGGGAACTGTGTTCTCCTAGACAGAGTCTTTCAAATCCTTGTTTTTCTCCCCCTTGTTAGGGGGAGGATGGACTGTCACGTGGCAAGTGGCTAAGCCACTTGGCCTTCAAGGCAGGATTTCCAGGTCTGGATGCCCACGGAGCAGAGGCGGAGTGGCCCAGCACCTCCACCTGTGATGCCTGTGGGCTGGCTCTCCTTGGGTGGACAGCAGGCACTGGTGGTCATTCACGCTCTAGTCACCCACACTGCTTGAACCCGACTCCCTGGAAGGGGCTGAGGCATAGGGAGCTGTTTTACAAAAGCCCCTCGCTATTCCATTGTATGGTATGTGCCTGGCTCCAAGGCAGATTCCCACCCTAAAGCTCACTGTAAAACAGTTAAATAAAGTGAATATTCCAGTCTGCAGATGGTTCCTTCTACCTATTGACTGGTAGAAGTAAGCGCTACCGAGGGGAAGAGGTACCCAGGGAGTGAGACATGGCCCTCCTCGTCCTGAGATCCTGGAGCTCTTCAGTTTTCAGTCCTCACACCAGCCCTTCCAGGTGGGTGCAGCCATTCACACAGATTCCAGCAAAGAGATGCAGGCTCAGAGAAGCTGAGGGACTTGGTCCAGGTTCAGCAGAGGGGAAGGGGGTATGCCAGGAGCAGAGTGCCCCCGACTTGGCCCCAAGCTCAGCTTCTTCTTTCTCTACCTGTGACTGAACCCTGGGGCATCAGCCATTTTGGGGTCCAAATCAGTCCTAGCCTGCTCCTCATGGAAATGGTATCATATTTTCATTCTGATCTGTATTCTGATTTCTAGCTCAGAAAATACAGGCACCATATTTACAGCTTCCGCGGAGCCCTCCTTTCTTCAAATTCCTCCAAGCACTCAACAGTGTCAAGTGTCAGAAGCATTAAACTTGTCATTTTGCCCGATTCCTTCTGTTTCTTCCAGTTTGTCCTGTTCTCTTGGACTGGCTGATGTCCTGGAGGGAATGTAATGGGGCCTCTTGGTCTCCATTACAAGTCAATCATACAAAAACTGTATGAGAAGATGTGTTTAGCAGAGGCAGCTGGGACTCACACTTAGTGTCCAAATCCCAAGAATCCCAAGAAGCTCCATCTCCTTCCCCACACCTACTGGGTGTGGCCCCAGGAGTTTCCCAGGGACCGGGGTGGGGGGGCACATTCTGCTTCCAGTCAGGCGCATCTGGGGGATGATGGCCAGTTATAGGTGAGAGAAATAAAATGAGCTGAAACATGAACACCCAAGGCAGGGCTTTTATTAAGGGACAGAGCTGCCGGGCTGTCTCCAACAATGGTGAAAGCAGCAACCAGGGGCTGGCTGGGTGAGGTTTATAAGGGCTGGGGGAGTGTGGTGGAGGCAGATGACTGGCTACAACTGGGGGAGAGGTGGGAAAAAGCAGCAGGTCTTTGTTCTCCTTGCAGTGCCTCCTTTCCTGTAGGCTGGACCATTTTATCTAGCGGAGAACTCTATCAGAGAAGACACACAAGTTGGGAGGGGTCTGAAGACATCCGCTGGCATGGTAAAGGGATTTGACACAGTACATGGAAATTACAATGAAACAACAAAAGAATTACAAAGTTTTCATAACTTGGAGTGGATATGGGAAAGAGATATAACCATTCTTTATGGTCTCAAAGGCTACTAATATGTATTAGGCTAGGCTAAGCTATGCTACAGTATCAAAATAAATCATAACTATTTCAGTGGTCTCGTACAGTGGCAGTTTATCCCTCTGTTAAAGTGCAATGAAGAATGAGAGTTCTCTTTAATTTCTTAGTGACACCATCTGGAACTCACAACACTTGGGTGGCACTGCAGCAGGGGAAGAGAGAGGTGGAGGAGGTGCATCAGCCTGAAATGGCATCAGCCTGGGTGTGACTCACGTCACTTCTACTCATAGTCCACCAGAATAGTCACATAGCCTGATGTAATTGCTGGGCATGCTGGGAAGTGTGGCCTAGTGGATTATTTCTTGTGAGCACAGCTCAGTGATGACTGGGATAGTTTCCTTATTTGATATTACTCTTATAACACCATATTCCAAGTACTACTTTATAAAGTTTACAAATAGAGTCGTTGAACCCCATGAAGTAGTTATTATTATTGCGATTTTTCAAATCAGATAATTGTGGTCTTGAGACTTAAATGAGTTGTCCAAGGTTCTCTGTGTGTAAGTGAAAGCTCACATTCAGATGTGGGTGTAGGGATTCTAGAATTCCTGCTCTAACCACGTAGCATCTGTGCCACCCCCGCTTGCTACAAACACAGCATGGGGTGGTGAGAGGTCACAGGGAGGCAGACCTGGAAAAGGGCTCAGAGGACACTGGAAACCAGCACCTCCTTTTCCCGGGGGTGACCAGGCTCCTGGGGAAACTGAGGCCCAATAGGAAAAGTGAGGTTTTCGACTTCTTCAGTGGGTCTGGGGGCTCTAGAAGGTTAAAGGCTGGTGAGAGGTGGTTGGATCAAAGTGCTTAAAAGTGAGGACAGCAACAGCAACAGAAGGGTTTGTTATGGAAATGAGAAAACACATAGGAGTAGAGAGCGGCTTAATGAGCCCTGTGTGCCCGTCACCCAGCTTCAGCAGGTGCCCAAATTTGGCCATCTGATTTCATCTGTTATTTGCCAGGAATTTGGGGAGAGGAAGTAGAGTATTGAGAGTTAATGATGGACATCTTATTTTACACAGTTATTGCAGTGTCCAAAATAATTTTGATAGCAATTTTGGGGGAGAAAATGAGATGTTGCCCCATTCTCTGGAGAAGAACAGCAGTCGACACTAGGGAGGGCGCCATATTCTTTGCAATCACCAGGGCAGGTTCAAAAGCATTTGTCCCCCGCCTGGGGCCTCATTCTAGCCCAGGCCTCTTGCCTGTAAGAACCCTGGGGGACAAAAGCACCTTGTAAAATGCTGTATGTTACCTGGATGAGAAACACAAAACAAGCCCATCTTGTGTATCCCTTTTTCAAAATCTCATCGCTCCTCCAAGTGCAGCCTTGAGCCCCCCGGGGGCCTCTGAGCTCTGCTGATGGCGCTGGTGTCAGCTGAATCGCCCGTGCCATTCCAGTTATCTTATTTACCCCCCTGCGCCATTTTCCAGTGCTTGGCTCTCCCCCAGCTGGGGAGAGGGCTGGAGAGACTGCTTTAGCAGGTGCTCACAGCTCCTCCACTACTGTTGCCCTTTCCCGGAGAGCCCTTACCTGGGCACACGAGAGAGAGGTGTGAAGGCTGAGGTGCCTGCAGCATGGTGCTCGGCTCGGGGCAGCTGTATGGGATTTGGAAATATCTGTTCTTCCCCACCTCCTGGCTTCCCAAGTGTCTGCCATTCTCCACCGCACCCCACTGGGCCCCATGCCAGCCTGTGAGAGGAAGCTGTCTGCCCAGCACCCAGAGCAAGGCCCTTCTCTGGGGCGCCGTCCTGGCCCCTTGGTGTGGTCCTTGTGGTTGTGGTGAGGCTCGGTATCGACAGCAGCCTCTTCTCTGAGTTTCAGCTTCCTGTGCTGCAGCAGTGCCTGGCCCCCTGGACACCCCCTGCTCGGGAGAGCACCCAGCAGTTTTTTATGTGGTCTCTGGATCAGAAAGTATGTGGGGCTCCCCACTTCACAGGGCCCTGCCCTTCCTCCTCTTTTGGGAGCAGCGACTGACTTCTCGGCAGTAGCACTGGGCACAACACTCCTGTCAGCGTGGTGGGGACTCGCGATGAGGCCCAGCAGGAGGAGGTGGGTCATGGGGCGCATGCTTGGGGGGTTTCTGGGACCTCAGCCTCTCCTCACTCTCTCTTTTTGCTTCCCAGACACCATGACATGAGCAGCTTTGCTCTGCCACACTCTCTCGCCATGATGTCTGTCCTTGCCACAGCCCAAAGTGACACGGCCAGGTGACCATGGATTGAAACTGTGAACCAAAAGAAGGATTTCCGCGCCGGGGATTTAGCTCAGTGGTTTTGCTGCCTGCTGTGCAAGCGCAAGGACCCGAGTTCGATCCCCGGTACCAAAAAAAAAGAAGGATTTCCTCCTGTTAAGTTGTCCTTTTAAGCTGGATTCAAGCTTGCCTGGATTTGAATTTCTGCTGCACCACATGCAAGCCAGGAAAACTATATCACCTGTGCTTCATTTTCTTTATTTGTGAAACAGGGACTAAAAAGGACCTATGTCATGTTGGTGTTAAGAGGATTACATGAGATAATGTGTTTAGCGTGGTGTTGCTAAGAGCTTAGTAAACATTACCTGTCACCATTATCACCGTTATTATTTATTACTTCTCATCCTCAGTTCGGGCTCTTTTATGCAACACAAACTCTAAGTTCCCTGGCTTTTGGGATTTTTTTCTCCTTGTGATTCCATGGCCAATATGGCACAATGAAGAAGGCATGCTGTTGGGCGGGGGATTTAGCTCAGTGGTTCCGCCGCCTGCCTCGAAAATGGAAGGTCCTGAGTTCGATCCCCGGTAACCGCCCCCCCCCCCACCAAAAGAAGGCATGCTGTTTAGAGTTCTCTTATTTAAGGAAGTCATGGGACTGCTCCAGCCCCGACTTTCCTTGTCTGTGAAATGGAAACCACTCATCTCCAGAGGTGGGTGCTCAGGTGCAAGGAAGGCCTGATGGTACTGGAACTCAGCTCACTGGATTGGGCTGAAACTAGCTCAGTTAGAATGCTGTCCTTTGAGGTGTCACCCTCTCTAGCAGTGACCTTGAGCAAGAAGACCCGCGGAAGGTAGATGAGTTCCTCTCTCCTGTCCAGAAGGCAGTGTTGATGTCCTAGGTGACTTCTACATTTTCTAGAGGTGAAGGAATGGGGAACTGAGAGCAAAAAAGTAGGAGGCACCAAGTAAGCAACACTTTGGCCCCCTCTGAGAGGCAGTGCAACATGAGAGGGCACGGATGCTGGAGCCCCATTTCCTAGGTGCAAACTGACTGACTTCACTCCTAGGAGGTGTGTGACCTCCGGCTAGTCGCTGAGTTGCTTCTTCATTTTCCTTGACCGTTAATTGGAGACACATCATGCATCTCACAGAGTGCAAGGGTTGAACGTGTTAGAAGAAAACCCATGGAGTTGTGCTTAGCACTCAGCAAATGCTCTGCACTGTTCTACACTTACCTCTCTGCCTCTAGTTAAGCTGATCATCTCCTCTGTGCTCCCACCCAGCAGGATTTGTCATGTTCTCCTTGCTAATCTCCTTTCCCCATGAGCTCATCTCTGTGTTCCTGGTGCCTAGCAGCAGAGAGCCTGACACATACTTGGTGTTTAGCATTATTATTATTAATATTTTTTGTCAGGAGGAATGCAAGAACTCAGGGGTCAGCTGATGTGAGCCAGAGGCCTGCTGATTAGTATTACAGGAATTCGACATGAGTCAGTGAGCCTTGTGGCCCTTGCCTGCGGATGGCTTGTCCCAGGCCTGGAATAATCCCGATCCCTTCAAGAGAGAAGGCAGGCGAAAACAGGAAGGGAATTACTCCACACCTGTTCTCAGGTCCCGTGCCAGGGGCTTGACATGTGTACACCCCTCGCTTAGCCTTCAGGGCCGCAGCACTCCACACCAGATGGACAGAGCTCACTGCCAGGCATCCGTGGAGCCCTCCGGGTCTTTCTGACCTCATCAAACTGTGCCTCCGGCAGGGGAGTGACTGGAAATCTCTCTGACTCTTCAGAGTGTAGCTTCTGGCAGAAAAACAAACTTGGCTCTTGCTAAAAGTGACTTGGATGCATTATGATGCAACCAAATTCTGATTTTGAATTTAAACCAAATTCAGAGTCACTTAAAAGTCTGTTCCTTTGAGCAGGTGAGGAAAATCCTCCCCTATCACAGGTATTTTTCCTGCTAATTTTTAACCCATCGAATGCTATTATCTTGTTTTACAGACATGGAAACTGAGCCCTAGAGAGTAAACTACCAAGGTCTCCAGCA